ACACAACTGCAAAGGCTGGTTATGTCGTCACACACACACACACAATGAAGTGTCAATAATCGAAAATAAAAATTCGAATTTCAATAAATATTTTAGTATGACTGCAAAAGGCTAAAAAGCTACTATAAATGCCACAGCTGAAAATTGGAAGGGCGATTTAATTTCGTTTACGGATATAGCAGGTGGAAGGCACATAATATTAAAAATTGTCATGTGCACTTTATACGCCCTTACCGCCCTTACTTAGCGCGCAACATTTGCCAGTGCAAAAATCATTGGGGATTTTCGCACATGAGTTGTGCTGACGCGGAATTTCGAGGAAATGCCAAGCGAGTAAGTGAAGAAATGTGAAAAGGAGGCGAGCGGAAGAATGGAATTGGATATGAATTTGTTCTCAGACAGTTGAAGATACTTATTTGGGGTGTAAGTACAAAATATTTAATTTTAAAATCATAAATGAAAAAATACGCAAAACCCAATTTAACTTTTGCAGGCGATGATAGGTGTTTTATTCAATTTTGATGAGGATTTTGATAGAAAAAAAAAATAACGAAAAAGCGGTACATAGAAAATAATTTAGGCAAAGTTTTACGAAAATAAGTTTAGAAGCCTAATAAGCGAAAAAATTCACGGTGCGTATGCGTCCCGCTGCGAATAATATTTTTTGTATTAAATCAGCAACTTTTATTTTTGTAGCACCTTGGTCGTCATCCTTTACACTCACCCCCACATCAGCGCCTTGGCTTTAAAGTACTTCCATTCCCACTTGACTCTACTTTTGTTCGGTTGGCTGGCTGGTTAAAGGAGAAAACAATTGAAAATCACTTCAGATTTACGTGTCATTGACAGCAACAGCAGCATTGAAGTACCCGCAAGCGAATGGTGCGACCAACGAGTGAATTGTTTCTCAGTTTTGTTTCAACTTGTTTCTGTTGTTGAGTTTCCACTATTTTACTTGAATCAAGTTTTCGAAACCTCTGTAAAATTGAGTTTATCACAGCAGAAGTCACTAGCGTGTCGAGTACATGCTTTGAACTTTAAAGTGCAACAATGGACAAAGAGGAGAGAGTATTGATCTTAGGCACAGGACACTAAGAAAACATTTTATTTATGGGTTAAATGTAACTAGTGGTGAAATTAGAATAGAGAGTATCATTCCAGGAGACAGTCTAATAATAACGCAATGCTGGTTTAAAACATTTAACTGCATGTGCCTCCTACTTCTACTCAATGACCTCAATCACAATGGGTGAATATGCGAAAGTATGAACGCTTTCTGGCCTAATTTTCGCTATAAGTCTTAATAGCCAATTCCGCAAATTAATCAAATTTTTATATCATTAATCCTTTAAAATAGCCTAAAATCTATGGTTAAAATAATAAAGCAATAAACGGCCGTACTAACTTTGTGCTTATGGTCCGAGCTACTTGGATATATGCCTCACACTTGCCTCCATACTTTGCAGAACAATGTGCAGATAACAGATTTCGCTGACTTGGTTTGAGACTAAAAATCACTAGCTCTCTTTCAGGCAGCAGAGCTCGTTTTGATCCCATCTCGTTAAGTAAAATAAGGAGGAGAAAAATTACTGCGATCTACTTGGCATTATTGCCGTATGTGGCATTGAAAGCGATTCCTTAAGATGAGATATGGTGGAGTGCAATAAGGTCCGCGGAAATAACGCCCATGTGCTTTATTTCCAAAAATAAGAGAAATAAATCCCATGGGCGTTATTTCCAATTCGAAGGGTAAATAGCATCCACCAATAAAAGGCAATAAAGCCCATGGGCGTTATTTTCGCGGCCCTTATTGCACTCCCCCATGAGATATGTATCCTCATTTTTAGTGAAGGCAAACACGCCGATATCTGTAAGAACTGTTTAGACAGAGCAAACCCTAACTACGTTGGGCCCTGTGGAATCCTGCGTACACAGTATCGTTGGATTGATCCTTTACTGCGATGATAATGGCCAGTATAAAATCTCCGGAAAGAGAACATGCGCCGCGGCGCATATTGTCTTTTCGAGTAGATACAGTCTGTGAAATTGAATGTGGGGATTTTTACCAAATTTTTTAGCCCCAAGAAACGGGAGGCGATTCATTTTGTCTTATATAATAGGGAGACCTAACTGGTGAAACCAGAGCGAAGATTCACTTTTCCATCACAGGTATATCGAATTTAAACTTAGAAAATACTGGAAATTAAAAAAAAAAATACCTTGCTTGTGGAGGAGTCGCGGCCCTTGTATGTCGAAGCAGCTAGAATATGTGTTACATGGACCATCACATAGACGGTGATTAACCTAATGACTACTCTTCGTGGCAGTTTGAATAAGGCTTGTCCTCCTCCTTCACACCTCAGCCTTACTCATGTTTCCTGCTGCAATAAACAGCTTCAGAATTTGTAAAGCAATTCGAGTAAATTTCGTAACAAGGCCCTTTAAACTATTAATGAGATGAAATGCGAAGCTCTCGGTGGTAACTGAGAGAGCAAAGAACGAAGCTGATTCGGCTCGCGAAAAGAGTTCTCTTTAACCCTGCTTTGATAACACTGTGGCACAGCCGAAATCAGCCCGGACTTTGTTAACATTTGCAAAAGTTAGCTCATATTTTTATTTAATGGCCTACTAGAGTTTTCATATAAATACATAAGTGAGGAAAATGGTTACAAAATATCTGAGCAAAACTAAGGGTTAAGACGTAAATACATGTATAGTAAAATTTCATGAGAAATATATTTGTAGGGCATTTTAACTCATTAGCTCTCGTATGAAGGGGTCGTTTTGACCCTTGCTTCAAGAAATACCTCAAAAAACAAAATTTGCAAAAACGCGAGAGGACTAAAATGTTCTGGAGAATAATTTTTTGGAAAATTTTACTAGCGGTCTTCTCAAGCAAAATCTTCATGTCGCCAACGTACTAGCGTAAAATTAAGGTAAGCAAAACATGATACATACATATGTCTCGCAGACGTATGGATATCTTCTGAGCAACTTTCAGTAAGGCAATCAAAGTAGAGTTAAATAATACTACAATGGTATTGAAAATCTGGATCTAGCCGTCTGATAAATGTTCTAAAAAGGGGCAAAATCGCAAATCAAAGTTAATCTACAGGCAAGATGGTTCCTTTACGTTCATGGAGACTAGGACTGAGACTTCGATCATCATAACGAATTTGTAACGGACATTTTTTCAGGAGTAGGTTTTACTTGGACGACAACAACTTATAGCGCTCCCACCTACGGCCACCCTCAGAAACTGGATGTACTGTATTACGCTCAGCAATGACTCTCGCTCTACAAATTTCTCTCATCATACCCGTGCTTTTACATGTCGCAGAAACATGGATGATGACGAGCATAGATGGAGACTTTGGGGGGTTTCGAGAGAACTATTCGTTAATTTGGGAGCTATTTTGAATAATTAAGTGAACAATTACACACTGAGCAATTTTATGGGGAAATGTTAAATAACAGCCGAGATTTAGATCGTTTTAATTAAAGTGACATAGCAACTTTTTAAATGAACTTTTCTTAGTAACCTCTTCTACGATACTTGAACATCAACTATTTCTATAATGAAAATGCAACGACAGTTGTCTTTACAGCAATAAAATACAATAAAAACAACATGGCAATCACATCACAATTTCCAACAGCCAAAAAAGTGTTCCATAAGTCAAGTTAGCGATTACTCATCGCACAGGTGAATAACTTTATTGAGCAGAAACGAAGGTTAGGTAAAAGTTCAAACAGTTAGCCACTAGCAAGCAACTCGTCACTCAAAGCTTACAGGTATGGCCAACAACAAAATTGTAGACCAACTGCCAACGGTAGTGATTGCGCTTTAAACTTTCTTGACGAAGTTACGCAGCCAATAGTACAGCGAAATATACATACATATGCACACACACATAGGCATATCTAGCATAGCAGCACACAAGGCATACCTGCACAGTAATGCGCCTTTGAACTTATATAATAGGGCGCACTTGAGTACTTTGACAATTTAATTGAAATTATTATTGCATAATTTCGAAAACTTTCAAACGTAGTAGGTACAGTAGAAATTGAATTTCAAATTGCGAAAATGCCAAAAGAGCAACAACACAAAATATACAGTAAAATTGCAGCAACATAAACTCAACTGCAAAAAAAGCAACTGCCACTGAGACAACAACTAAAGGGAGTATCTAAGCAGGAAATGAAATTTTCGAGTGTAAGCCAAGTTGTAGTTGGAGTACTTTTCGAGTGTGTGGCGGGTGCGGGTGGATTGCGGGTTAAGCCAGCAGCGCAAGGAAGTTAAGCAGAGCAGCAGCAGCAGACAACTTCACTTCACTTCAATTACTCGCATAGCAAACAACTTTTAATGTGATAATGACTCAAAAAGCTTAATGGCGAATAAAATGGAATGGCTGTGTAGCAACGAGTCCCAAAAACAAAAAAAAAAAAAAACAATCAAACTTGGCAAGGGCGAGCTGGTGATGAGCTAATGATAGATGCAAGTACGAGAAGACAATAAAAAGCAACAATAAGAAAATAAATCGCAAATAAAAGCAATATTTTTCGGTTCGTAAATTAATGCTTCATTTGTGCGTGCGAGGGTGAGGAGAGTTTGCATTCATTCATCTGGGTGTGTGTCTCTGTTGGATGTGTGCGATTAAGTGCGTGGCAAACAATCAGTATTTACTGCAATTTGCGACAGCCACGCGCTACGTGCCGCAGCCATCAACGTATCAACTCGCAACTAAACGAGTATGTGACTTTTATGCGCCCAAAAGTATGCAACAACATTCAACACTCAACGCATTAGCGTCAACACCGTACGAACGTGATTTATTTGCGAAAATCTATGATGACGATTTGCAACAATGGCAACTTTTCAAGTGCAGCTTAGTGCTATGTAGCAACAAATACTCAACAGGGGTTTTGTGGGATGTGGCATACTTATTGAGTGTACACGCGCACAACTGTAGCATCATCATTACGCCCACAAATTAATGACTAAAACGTACTTCAACTACGAGTTAAAACACTTGAAAACATCGAAAACTTTGTGGGGAAATTTGGTGAAAATTCGCCGCAACAAAGGCATAGTGAGCGCACATTTCACAAAATGAGAATAAATTAAAAAAATAATAAAAAATTTAACCCCTTATAAGGTGGTATTACACTTTACGCGCTCGCGCTTTTATGAAATTGCTGAATGTTTTACACTTAAACAAATTTAATTAAAATTTGATGCAGCAACTACTCGCATGTATTTACTTTACTGCTGGCTGGAGTTGAGTGCACGCGCACTGAACTTAAGTGTACTTCGCTGACAATGAAAAGTTTAACTTAAAGTTCTCATGCACACAGAGAGAGAGAGAGATGTGCACCCTTAAAAGCTGTGCAATAAATCTGCTTTATTCGCTGTGATCTATGTGGCTTTGGTCTGAATGCGTGCATCGCAACTACAGATTTCCCCAGAGCTCCACTCATTACCCAAGAAAACACAAACTTTTTAAATAAAACAAAAGTTTTTTGAAAAGTTTGTAGAAGAGGAAAAATTGGCTTTCTTCTTCGCTGCAAACGTATTGTCTTTCGATTTAATTTTTATTTTGTTTTTGGAGATTTCCGTATGCATAGGTTACACTTTACGGAATGTCAGCGGAGTAGCCATTTTTTTTATGGAATTGTCTTGCCCTCCGCACAAGTCGTAAGAACTAGCGAGATTAAGAGTACGGTAAGCGCAACTGTGAGGAAAAATCAACTTAATCTTAACACTAATCTTAATCCCAATCTTAACCTTTATCCTAATCCCAATCTTAATCTTGATCATAATCCAAATTTTAATGTTAATTTTAATCATCTTAATTTTAGTTCTAATCTTAATATTAATCTTAATCTCAAGCCTAATCCTAATCTTAATCGTGATCCAAATGTTAATTTTAATGTAAATTCCAATCGCACTATTAATCTCAATCGTAATCTAAATCTTGATTTTAATCCCAATAATAAAATTTATCTTAATCCTAATCTTAATCTTGATCGTAATCCAAATCTTAATCTTAATTTCAATGATCTCATTCTTAGTTCTAATCTTAATATTAATCTTAATCTCAAGCCTAACTATAATCCTAATCTTAATCTTGATCCAAAGTTTAATCTAAACGTAAATTCCAATCTCGCTATTAATATTAATCGTATTATAAATCTGGATTTTAATCTCAATTTTAGACGTAATCCTTATACAAATCGTAGTCTTAATCTTAATCGCAATCTTAATCTTAATCGTAATCTCATCTTATTATATTAGTCTTAATCTTTATTTCAATCTTTATCCGAATATTAATCTTATTCTTAACTTTAATCGTAGTCTTCAACTTAATATTATTCTTAATCTCAACATTAGTCATAGTCGCAGTATTATTTTTAATCTTATTCTTAATCGTGCCGAACCACAGGCCCTATCACTAGGCACCGCATGCTTGCAATAAATCTTTTCTAAACAAACGACACTGAAGACGAAGGGCTGGCGCATACCGGTGGACAAAAGAACTAAGAACTCCTACACTCTGCAGCGCTCGAAACTTCTACAGATTGTCTTTAGACCATTTCCAAAGCACTGTTAAATTTATCTACATACCGACAGAGTGAAGGAGCCCTTTAGGGTTGTTTTCATCCGCAAAGCCGACAAACCGGTTCACACGCATCCAAGGGAGCGCGGGCCTATGGGCCGCTACTTCTTTGTGCGTCATTGGAGAGAGACACCTCAGTAGGAGCTGATAATTTGACTTTCTTACGGGCTGCAAGGACCGTTGTGCTCAAAGTATGTTTCTAGATAGTACTTTCATAATGGAGATCCCAAGCAGGAAGGAATGAGGGTAAGTCTCTGAAATCCACGTGGAACTACATATCGAAATTTTTGCAGAAAACTACTATCTATACAGGCGGAGGCTTAAACTATTACGGTGGGTATAAAATAAACTTGGTAAAGATGTTTTCATTTTCAATGACAGCCAAATTGTAAGCTCCCTTACAATTAACTCGAAAATTGTGCTGGACATTCGCTGATCTCTGCAGGAGATAGCTAAACGGACATTCTGAAACTCATTTAGGTTTCCGATACCAGGCAAATAAAGAGTGCTGCTGCCTTTCAGTCACAAACACATCTACCTACAAAGATGCATAAGTACCACCGCCTTCACAGGAGCCGGCGCGACTTCGATACCGAAAAATTAACCATCACGTTCTGTAATAATCAAGCCAGAGTTTCCTGACAAGTCTGTTTATGTGACCAACTCTTTCTGGCATGTCCAAAGAAGTGCAGATAAACTTATTTTTAGAATATTCCATGATGTCATCTCAATGCCACGCGCCTGATTCATCCACAAAGGTACCTGCTTTCGCCAGCTTATCAGAATTCTCATTGCTTTCGATTTTCCTAAGACCGAGACATTGTACTGCACATCTTTACAAAAATCACAAAAACTTGCGTAAACAACTAGGGTATTCACAGAAGCGTTTACAAAACCGATTCGATTTGTTTTCCATAGGTTAACTGCATGGCTTATCATGCCGGTTCGGTAAAGCCCGCAAGGTGATTTTTTACCTAAAACGCGTAGCGAAGCAAAACAAAGCGCACACTAAGAATATAAATATATCATAGAAACCCCTACAAATCAGCACAGTTGACTTGCGGCCTTGCTTGAAGAAGTTTCATCGCATTACTTTGGGAAGCGAATATATTTCGTTCGAATAGAATTTGAGTAAAATGACTAAGTTTATATTGGGTCTCGCGCTTTGTGGATTTTTGGCTTTAGTCGCCTCCGCACACCCTTTGCTGGAGGAAGAAGGCTACAACAATGATGCAGCTAATCGCCTAGTAGATGTTCAAGGCTGGATAGAAGAACCGGTTGCACTGCTGGTACGCCATGCACGTTCTCCTGACTCACGCGAGGATTCGTCTCAAGAAAATAAACGAGGTCGAGTTGAGTTGAAATACGAAGACACGCCGGAGCGTGGACGTGAAGCCACTTTCAAGTACAATCACAATTTAGCGAAAAGCGATGATGGCAGCTATAGTGTTGATGCTTATGCACAGGGCAAGCGTAATTACGATTGGAATCAAAATGATTTTCAAGGTGGTTTGGAGGGTCATTGGCATTTCAAGGGTTAAAATGCAGTAAAAGAGTAAATAATGGACTTACTCATAAAAAATTAAGTAGCTTTAAAAAAGGTTTATAAACTGAAAAATGTGTGAAAACGTCATTTTATAAAGCTCTTTAAAGCTACTTTATAATTTACGAATAAGGCCAAATATGTTTATAGCATTAAGCTACTAGAAATAGGCAAGGAATGGTATATTGAAATAAACAGCAAATATAGAAATTTCTGAGTAAAATATTACTATGCGAAGGTGAAAACTTTTCACACTTTAGCTAATTTGTTATGTATGTAAATTAGGGTAGTCCAAAAAAGTAAAGTCGGCATTTATGTGCTCTCACCCTCTACGAATGTTTAATATCGAAAAAAATATACCCTTATTTTTAACCGACTTCAAAAAAGGAAGTGGTTATCAATTCGTCGGAATATTTTTTATTTATGTTACCGCATAATTTTGGACCACGTCAACCAATTTTTATAATCCGTTTTTTAAAAGGGTATACTTCAATGGTGATCCCATACTATTTTGGTTTAGATCCGATCATTGGATCATGAAGAAATTAATGGTACTCTTAAATAAATATATGAGAATTGAAATGTGTAATTTTTTGAATTCAAAAATATTTACAGGTCGCTCAAAGAGATCAAAAAAGTCTTCCATGTATTTTATATGGAAAAAACAACTTCTCATAGAAATGGTATCGAATTCTTGAAAATCAATATTTCGACTTTACTTTTTCGCATGACGTTTTGGACCGCCCTAATTGTACATATGCGCTACTAATGTGCATATCCACGTGTGCGCTCGGATAGGCTGATAAACTTTAACCTGCAAGGGTGTTACAAGTGCATGACAAAGTGTCAAATAACCCCTTTCCGACGAGAGTGCATACGCGCAATTCTATACAGGCATAGAAAAGCACAAACTCTTTAAGGTGTGGATACAAATTTTCCAAGCTTTAGTTGCTTCAAGCTGTAGCAAAAATTCTTCCTTCCTTACAAGCTGTCTTGCTGCTAAAAAAAAATAAAAGTTACTCATGTAAACGTAATTTGTTAGTGTGCTGCTGTAAGTTTAGCGTCTGAAAAGTTCATACTTGCATTAACACGCATACACAGTTATTGGTAAGTACCCTCTAACAAAACCATAGCGAAAAAACAATGACAGAGTGCATAGCAAAAGTACTAAAATATATACAAAGTACTGTCACAAAATCACAGCACAAAGCGGTATACCTTCAAAAAAAAAAAAAAACAACAAAACGTAGAAAACAATTTTCACACAAAAGTCGAAACTAAAAGGAAGAAAGTAACAGCAACATGAAAAAGAAAGAACGATTTTTTTCATACACGATTTAGCTAAAAGGTTAGAGCGCAAAGGAAAATGCATGTGCCAGGTTTTTAGTTTACCCTTTACTCCATCAAAGGTTATCGAGAGAAACTAAAAAACTAAAAAAGTAAGAGAAATAATCTTAAGTGTGTATGTGAATATGTATAGGCGATGATGAAAACTAGTGAACACAAAGACTAAGCAAGCGACTAACAGAGGTCTACACACCTGTTTGCAGGAATAAGTGAACAAGTCCGTCCATATATTTTCACAAATATGTGTTCTTTCTTTCTCAACATGCAGACAAGTACAGGATGGTCCATATAAAAATTCAATGAAATTAAAAAAAAAAAATCAATTTTTTTGACATATTCAGGCAAGTCGGGCAATTCTCTTCCGAACGAATTTCGTTCACATTCAATTTGAATTCAAAGTGACTTCAGATTATTGGTTTATTCGAAAGAACAAACATTCCAATTATTTACGAAACACGATTTCGTTCATGTGGCTGCCTCGGCTGACTTTACAGTAGCGCATCCTATAAACTCAGTTTTTCAAGATCTTGGGGACGCTTTCTGGTTCTATCTCACGAATGGCTTGTTCGATATTTGCCCTAAGGACCTAAATCATTAATGAATTGCTTGCATAACGTCGACCCTTTACGGCACCCACTAAAAAGTATAACGGCTTGGAACGCCATTACCAAATTTGGCGCACAAAAGATCGGTTGTGGCATGGGATGTGTGGCATGGCGCGCCATCCTGCCTGAAACCAAAGATCGTCCAAGTCCATGTATTTAATTGCCGGTCACACAAAATCGTTTATCACGCCCCTGTACCGCTCACCGTTGACCGAAATGGCATTTCCACTAGCAATTTCAAAGATCCGCACCATACTGTCAGTCTCTGAGCATGCATTGACTTCTCGACGATCATGTGCGGGTTTTCCGTTCCCAAAAAGCGCTTTATCAGAAAATAAGATTTTTTCCAGCAAAATCGTTGTCCATTTCGAGCTGAATAAGTTTGCATTATTTCCCAACATTGATCAAACGGAAAACGATTAATTTCGTTCCGCTGAGGTATGGTACAGACTTTCTGTCGAAATTCGGTAAACCTTTTGTTTTGGTGATGGGTTTTTACGCGAAAAAGAGTGATATATGAGCATAAGGAATTAACTTTTCCAATTTCGCTAAAATATACGAGGTTGTCTGGTTTTTAATAAATAGCTGTTAAAAAACAAATTACTTCACGTAGATTTCTGAAATTTTAATAGTATATAGTCTACTAGAAAATGGCGCGATTGCCCTTAGACGAAAAAAGGGAAAAAATCACATTTTCCATGGTGTATTTATTTGCATGGATAAACTGTGATGCAGGTGCAGAAATCTTTTCGACTGGGCTCTAAATCGAGAAGTCTATGTGAGAGCCAGTTTCAGCCAAATTTACAGCGTGGAAGCATTAAAATACACGTATCAAAATCGAATCATAAAATAACTTTGGGCGCCTTTGGCCCGGTTTATTGAAGAATCCCAAAAGTGCCAGCACTTTGATAAAATGGTTATTAAAGTCTAAGGCTGACGGCAGATAACTTTGCTACAAATTACTTGATGACATGATTTAGTGATCCACGCAAGCTTTGTAGCTGAAACTCGCTTCTATATCCGCTCACTGTCAGACACCTTTCGAGGAAGTCATACGAAAACATTCAATAGCTTGCTATAGCTATATTACTTCCACCAACCACTTTGCCTCCAGCCTTATGTAGAGAGAGATTATCGGAAGACGGATTTTTAATCGAGTGAAACAAATTTTGTGATAAGTAAGTCTTTTTGCCATTAGAGACATTAGCTTTAATGTAACCATTAGAAGAAAAAAAGTGTTATCAGGCAATCACTTTTTTAAACTTCATTCCTACTTAACGATTCCTTTGCGCGGTTGAGATAGCCGTCGGCTAAAAATTACGGCCTTAAGCGCCGCCGGTGATAAACTTTAACACCTGCCGCCATGCATTTGACAGCCTTTGTGCTGAGCCACCACTACCAACCAACCACTACGACTACATATCAATGCAACTTGTCATATTTGATTGCTTTGCACTTCAACTATGACGCTTTGGCATATTGCTCAGCAATTGCAGCGACAGCATAAAACGGAATTTCTTTTCGCTTTTTCGATTTCGCCTCACAAAGCTCCCAACGGACACACCTATGTACATACATGCATATGTATTAGGGTGATTCAAAAGAAAAAACTTTTTTTTTTCGTCGGAACCATGCTTAAAAGTTTCGTTTAGATGCCAATATAAGTCTCATAAAATATGAGCCCTTAATATTAATATTAAGAATGTCCGCATCGCACTTTTCGATTTCCCATACGAAAAACAGAGGAAAAATAGCTTTTTTTTAAATTTTGATTTTTATATTTAACGAACGATACATTGTACTGTAAAGCTCTTGGAGTATTTTTGCAGAGAATTGAACGCACTACAAAAAAAAGGTCTGAAGTAATTTTTCGATAAGTCAACTCGTTAAATATAAAAATCGGAAGTAAAAAAAAAAAAAATCCTGTGTTATTCTTATGGGAAATCGAAGTGTTTTTTGTTACTTCTGATTTTGGACTTTGACCTTGAATAACTTTTGACCGAGTTGATTTATCGAAAAATGACTTCAGACCATTTTTGTAGATTGTCTATTCTCTACAAACACACTCCAAGACCTTCACAGTACAACGTATCATTCATTAAATATAAAAATCAGAAGTAAAACAATTTTTCCTGTATTAAATATTCTTATGGGAATCGAAAAGTAATTTTTTTTTCTGAATCACCCTAATATGTAAGCAGTCTTTAAAAAAGCATATGTGGGCAAAACTACTAGTGCACTTATGGGGGAAAAATTGCTGACGCCACTCAACCGCACAAACACACAAAAATAAAGAAAAGAAAGCTAAGAAAATTTTCGAGTCGGTGCATTGTGTGTGTGCATTAGGGTGGTCCTTAAATGTATGAAACAAATTTTTACATCAGATTTCCTAAGTCTCAACCACTTCGTCGAAGCTCTGATAGTCGAACATATCACATAAATTTTGGTCCCGATTGAAGTCGGTTAAGGCGTGACACACAGGGGTCAAAGTTCAGGGCCGAAAATTTATATGTGATATCTGTGACCCTGGATTACCGATTGAGGGGGTGAGACTTGAAAAAATGGTTCATTTGATTTTTTGTAAGGACCACCCTAGTGTGCATATGTACATACATATGTAATATGTGGACCGAGTTTGTAAATGGCGTCAACTTGCCTGCAGGGTGGTCATTAAATGGTCGCCGCCAAACAAATGCACACTTACATAGGACGTTGGTATGTACATACTATGTATATATGTATAGATTTGTACATCTGAATGCATATGTGACACTCACTCACCCACCAGGTAGCGCAAAAAGGATTTCCTATACACACATGCCTTGGCACGAATGCTCTGCGAAACGTGAATGTATGCATAAACTAACCAAAAGGTGCAAACAGTGCACAATGACGACCCGGCCCTCGTACGCAAGCCCATTGCCTTTGGCCTCGACGTCCTGATATCCTTTGAAAGCGGGAAATATACCTATGCATGTATATACCTATATAAGTATGCACGTTTACGTTTGTGTATTTGTGCGAAAAGCTCCACCAAACGACGTGAAAGTGTTAATGTCGCAGTTAAAACATGTTGCATTTACCGTTA